GAACTTATATATATATATATTAAAATCTGATAGAGGCTCAGAAATGCAGTTAAACATATTTTTATTTTTTACAGACTTAAGGAAATGTTAAATGTGTAGAAATCATGACTTGCAAACGTAAGAGAGAATGCACAACTGTTGGAGAGGGATGGCGAATCACGTTTTCTAGGTCGACATTGAAAACTATGCGAGTTCGATATTATATACACACATATATATATATATAATTTGGACGTACTTAACGATTCACTTCTATCAAACCAGTTTTCGTACATAGAACGAGGATTTTTTTAACTTTGATTTTTCACAAGATGACCAGTGGCTCTATCTTTATAAAGTCGTGAAACTAATAGTTCAAACTAGAAAAGTGAAAATCGCCACTCTTCCTTTGATATGCTCAAACAATCTATGGGGGAAGGGGGGGGTTGAGGGTGGTTAACGTTTCACGTATTCAATATCTGATATCTGACCCCCGCCCCCTTTTTTCTGAAGTTAAAAGATACAAATTTAAGCAAAATAAAACTGCAGTTATACTGTATCAAAACTTCTGGTGAAGGACCATATGTGACGTCAAAGCACGTGCATTAGAACCCTTACCTGTAATGGAGCTCTCATACACAGTTCTTCCGCATAGTTGATCAACACAGTCCAGGGAGCAGAAAGCTTCACAAAATGAATGGTTTTCTTTTCGCTTTCTACAACTTCCTGAAAATACAGAAGGGGTGAGAATATCAATACTTATCGTTTGCTGATATGTTTCCCAAAAATGTGTGTGTGTCTGGGGAGGGGGGGGGTAGGTAGGGTAAGAGTTCGAGGGCCACACATCTCCCCCGAAAATTATTTTACGAATACAGAATTAGTCTGGATCGCTTCAGATTTATTGGGGACAAAATATGATTAAATCAAGGAGAAAACTTAAACGAAATGAATGTGAAAAATTAACAATCTGAAGAATAACTTATACAGCCTTCTCTTTTGTTTCCCCAGTCTTCGTATTTTGATTTTTCGACTCTTTGACCACCTACCAAATTACTTTTATATTCTTTACTTGTTTATAGTAATTAATCATATTGGATATAGAAGTTAGTTCAAGTAAACTTGTCGATTTTTATTTAAGGGGGGGGGGGTAAATGAATGTTGGATTCCATAGAGAGAATTGTTTGTTTGTTTGTCTTAGAGCAAAGCCACATCAAGCTACCTGCTGTGTCAACTGCGTGGAATCGAACCCCGGATTCTAGCGTTGTAAGTCCGTAAACTTACAGCTGTCCCACCGGGGGACATATATAGAGAAGTAAATGGACATTGTTTTTAGCTCTCCAGTAGATATTGCTGGTAAATATAACTTTCGTGATATATAATCGTTTCCATCAAGTGTTTTAAAACAGAGAATATAAAAGCCATTCTACACGTGAACTAATACAACTTTTTTACTTGTCTAACTCTCAATATTTACACAAAATTTATCCTAGAACGAAAAATTATCAGGCTCAGTTTTCTAATCGTATAACAGTGTTGGCTCGCACATACCTGTCAATTTTTTTATATCGTCTAATTATTACATTTCAAGAACACAGTTATCTTAATTTTTCAAAACAGACTACTGAATCTACCTCTTCCATGTCCAGACCTGCCTTACGGAGGTTCGACATAAACTTCTTTCTCCACGCCTCGTGTTTGTAGGCTTTCTTACTCGCTTTCTGTGCAGCTTGAGTGTTGAAAACTTCCCCTATTGGCTCCTCATAAACCAATACAAAATCTGCAAGAAAAAAAAATGTTGAAAGCTTCCCTTATTGGCTCCTCATAAACCAATAGAAAAGCTGCAAGAAAAGAAATGTTGAAAGCTTCCCTTATTGGCTCCTCATAAACCAATACAAAATCTGCAAGAAAAAAAATGTTGAAAGCTTCCCTTATTGGCTCCTCATAAACCAATACAAAATCTGCAAGAAAAAAATGTTGATAGCTTCCCTTATTGGCTGCT